CCACTTGAGCCACAGCGCCACTTCCAGCTTTTTTCTTTTTGCTTATGTGGTGCTGAGGAATCGAACCCAGGGCCTCATGCATGCAAGGCAAGCACTCTGCCGCTGAGCCACCTTCCCAGCCCCCTCTTTCCTATTCTCTTAACTATAGAGACTAGTTGGTTCTTTCTGTTAAAATACTGAAATTCAGCAAAACTTTTTCAATGTTTTGGTGATAGATATCAAAAAAGAATATGGGAACTGGGTTCTGGTCGCTCACACGTGTAATCTTAATTACTCAGGAGGCTGAGATCTGAGGATTGTAATTTGGTGCCAGCCTGGGCAGGAATGTCCATGAGACTCTTTTTTTTTTCTGGTGGTTAATTGGAGATAAGTCTCACAGACTTTCCTGACCGGGCTGGCTTTGAACTGAGATACTCAGCTCTCAGACTCCTGAGTAGATAGGATTATAGGAGTGAGCTACCAGTGCGTGGCTCAATTCAGGTTTTGTTTTGTTTGTTTGAGCTTGAACTCAGGGCCTGGGCACTGTCCTTGAGCTCTTTTGCTCAAGGCCAGAAATCTACCACTTTGAGCCACAGTGTCATTTCCTGTTTTTGAGTGGTTAATTGGCGATAAAAGTCTCACAGGGACTTTTCTGGGTGGCTTTAAACAATTACCCTCAGAACTCAGTGTCCTGAGTAGCTAGGATTACAGGTGTGAGCCATCAGCACCCAGCTTCTGTTTCTTTGTTTAGGAATGAAAGGTGATAAAACACAGATCCACATTATCTCCATGAGTTTTACAAATGTTTCTGATCAACTTAAGAAGTGAAGAAAAACAAAGCAGGTAACCCAAATGAGTTTCTTTCCATACTTCTAGCTCACTGTCCTGAGAAGAGCTGGCATCAGCTTTCCTCTTGCCTCGGTTTTTGCCAGTCATGTTTTTCCTGGATTGATCATCAGCATCTTTACTTGGTGTGTTCTGGGCCAAAGCTGGGCTTGTGGAGGGGTCTCCTGAAAGGAAAAGTGACATATATGTTATAAACATTCACTGGCTATGAGGAGCACAGCAGGAAGACGATACAGTGTGGAAAAGTAAACTCACTGTAAACAATTGGGAATGTAAACGTAAGTATTGCGCATCAGCAGTGGCTAACATCCTATTACTGTCACTACATGTACAAAGGGATTTTTTTTTTTTTTTTGGCTGGTCCTGGGGCTTGAACTCTGGGCATAGGCGTTGTCCCTCAGCACTTCAGCTCAAGGCTAGCACTGTACCACTTGTGCCACAGTGCCACTTCCGGCTTTTTTCTTTTTGCTTATGTGGTGCTGAGGAATCGAACCCAGGGCCTCATGCATGCAAGGCAAGCGCTCTACCACTGAACCACCTTCCCAGCCCAAGGGATTTTTTGTTGCTGTTGTTGCTTTCTCTTTAATTTTATGACAGGTTGAATTTTTTTTTTTTTTTTTGGTTGGTCTTGGGGCTTGAACTCTGGGCCTGGGCACTGTCCCTGAGCTCTTCAGCTCTAGGCAAGTGCTCTACCACTTGAGCCACAGCACCACTTTCTGGTAGATAATTGGAGATAACTTAAGCTGGGCACTGGTGGTTCATGCCTGTAATCCTAGCTACTCAGGAGGCTGAGGATCGCTGTACAAAGCCAGCCTGGGCAGAAAAGGCCCTGAGACTCTTATCTTCAATAAACCAGAAAACTGGAAGTGGCGCTGTGGCTCAAGTTGTAGAGCACTCACCTTGAGCTCAAGAGCTTAGAGACAGTGCCCAGGCCCAGAATTCAAGCCCCACGACTGATTAAAAAACAAACAAACAAAGTTTCATGAACTTTCCTGCCTGGCCTGGCTTTGAACCAAGATCCTCAGATCTCAGCCTCCTAAGTAACTAGGATTGCAGATATGAGCCATTAGTGCCCAACATGACAGCTTTAATTCTTGATCTTCCTATATCAGTCCCCTGAGTATAAGGATTACAGGAAGGTACCACAATGCATGGTTAAACCACCAACTTGTCATTAAATATAGGTATTAAAGGTATACTGGGCCAGGTGTCTGTGGCTCATGCCTGTAATCCTAGCTACTAAGGAAGCTGAGATCTGAGGATCACAGTCCAAAGCCAGCCCGGGCAGGAAAGTCCGTCAGACTCATCTCTAATAAACCACCAGAAAACTGGAAGTGGTGCTGTGGCTCAAGTGGTAGAGTGCTCACCTTGAGCTGAAGGACAGTGCCCAGGCCCAGAGGTCAAGCCCCACAACCAACAAAAAAGCAGAAAAAGAAAAAAGGAAAAAAAAAAAGCCAGGTGCCAGTGGCTCACGCCTGTAATCCTAGCTACTCAGAGGCTGAGATCTGAGGCCTGAGTCTGAAGCCAGCCCAGGTAGGAAAGTCCATAAGACTCTTATCTTGAAGAAACTACTCAGAAATAGTTGGGAGTGGTGTTGTAGCTAAAATGGTAGAGTGCTAGCCTTGAGCAAAAGCAGCTCAGAGAGTACCCAGGCCAAGAGTTCAAGCCCCAGGACCAGCAAGAAAAAAAAGTATGTTTGTACATTTAGTCAATTTGTGTATAAAGCCTTTATATCAGAGATTTTTAATATGGACATCATAATTTATTGCTGTTCACATGCCTGGACTAAGACTAGAGTCCTTTGACTTTTAGAAACTATGCCCAAATTCTGAAACTCCTTGTGATAAGCATGTTACCTCTACAGGGAGGGCAGGGCAGGGATGAGAAATGCAATCAATCTTTTCATTGTTAGTACTTCTCTGTTCTCAGCATCAGGTAGATATCCATCATTAGTGACTCATGAGAGCCTGTGTCCAACATTTCAATGCCCTTTACACAGGAGGAAAAAGCCAACAGCGTGGTCACGGTGACTTATACTAGAACAAAATCATCTTCACCATTAACTGGACACACTGTTTTCTGAGCTGCAGTTCTTACCGGAGGATAGTCTCTGTGCTGCTGGAGCAGGTACCATGACACTAGGCTTCTCTGCCTGGTATGTGGTACTCTCAACATCACTGTTAGTCTGACCCGTGACTCCAAAGCTGGAGCTGGGGTAGCAGGTCTGGTACTGATTCTGCCCAAGGATAGTGTAGGTGGGATAGTCCTGTAGGCCAAAGGGAATAAGGGAGGAAAACAAGATTCTGAGAGAGAAGAACAAGCATAATTTCAACTCAGAAGGTTTCTTTTCCTTCTAATCAAGGATTATTTTCCTAAAATAGTAATTTGGCTTCTCATCTACCTATATAATAGTGATCCAATAAACATAATGCTTTTCAAAATGCAGTCTGTGGAAACCTGGGTCTAGAGGAGATATCTCAGCTGTCTTTGGGATGAGGGAGAGGCTACGAACACATCCACAGTGTCCTGTCTCCTAGTCTATCAGCTTCCTGTCCTACCACCAATCTTAGTATTAAGTTTCTGCAGGTTTTGAAGTAAAGCTTCTGTACTTGACATTTGAGGGTAGCGCTTCTAACAACAAGTGAACTTATATGTAAAAGAAAAAAGCACATTTCCTCCTCGGCTATAGCGGGATGAATCTGGAGAAGCGGGAGGATCAGGAGTTGGGAGGGAGACTGGGCTACACAGTGAATTCAAGTCAATCTTGGCTATAAGCAAGACTCAATCTCAAAAATCAAATAAAACAACAAAAAACCCATATACTGCATTAAAGTTTCCAAGTTGAAAAAGTGATTTTTTTAAAAGAATAACCAAATTTTATTCAAAATTAAACTTTCCCTAAGATATTGGAAGGAAACTTTTGGTAGTTTCACAAGTACATATATACGCTAAAATTTATCCAAACGTTCAATGTGTACACTCCGTGCAGCTGATCTGTTAATCGGACCTTAATAATGCTAGAAGTAAGCATGCCACACAGAACAATATGCACTTGATATTAGTGACATGTAGGCAGATGCTTGTGGTCTAGAAACATTGTTTTTTTTTGGCCAGTCATGGGGCCTGAACTTTGGGCCTGGGCGCTGTCCCTTAGCTCTTAGCTCAAGGTGAGCACTCTACCACTAGAGCCACTTCTGGTTTTCTGGTGGCTAATTGAAGATAAGAGTCTCATGGACTTTCCTGCCCAGGATGGCTTTGAATGCCGATTCTCCGATCTCAGCCTCCTGAGTAGTTACGATTACAGGCATGAGCCACCAGTGCCCGACCTAGAACCATTTTTTTGGGGGGGGAGGGGGGCGGGGTCGGTCATGAGGCTTGAACTTTGGGCCTGGGTGCTGTCCCTGTGCTCTTCAGCTCAAGGCAAGCGCTCTACCTCTTGAGCCACAGTGCCACTTCCGGTTTTCTAGTGGTTTATTGGAGTTAAGAGTATCACGGATTTTCCTGCCTGGGCTGGCTTTGAGCAGTGATCCTCAGATCTTAGCCTCCTGAGTAGCTAGGATTACAGGCATAAGCTACCAGCGCCTGGCAGTAGAACCATTTTTTATAAATAATAAGTGAGCATCTATTATCAATATAACGCATAGTGTGTGTAATTGTGTGCAGACAGGAGAAACTATTGAAGAAAAGAATAGCCACATTAGCAAAACTCAATGAGCTAAACATCTAGCAGGAAAGAAGATAAAAAGATTTCCAACAAATTATGTGTGGAATAAGTGAAAAACACTGGAAGACAACTGGGGAAGACATCCTCACAGACCGGGGGTTAACAGGCAGAGGAGGATGAACATGAGTGACCCTGCAAAGGCTTCACAGTAAGGCTGCGGATAAAACAAACCACCTCTACAGGACAGAATAAATGGTTAAGTACTATGAATGGAGTTCACTAGGCAATTGTGGGTGCGTGGGTGCATGTGTGTGTGTAAACAGGGATTCTCAAGTTCAAATCAACAAATAAAAACAGTAAGATTCTGAGCAGACAAATGGCTTGATAAGATATAACATTTACAAGTTGGTTGCCAGTGGCTCACTCATATAACCCTAATTACTCAGGAGGCTGAGATCTGAGGATCATAGTCTGAAGCCAGCATGGGAAAGAAAGTCTGTGAGACTCTTCAGTTAACCAGTAGAAAACTGGAAGTGGTGCTGTGGCTCAATGTAGTAGAGTGCTAGCCTTGAGTGAAAAATCTAGGAGACAGAAGCCAGGCCCTGAGTTCAAGCCCCACAACAGACAAAAAGAAAAAAACAAAAAAGGTAACCAGATAATGCTTTAAAGAATGGACAAACACAGGTAGAAAAAGAGATGACAAAAAAAGAAAAGAAAAAGAGATGACATGTACTGTTAACTATTGTAATTCAAGATTAAAAGGGGGAAAATCATGATATGGGAAATGAGAGCAAAAGTAAAAAGGGTAAAGGTATAAGAAAGATGATTACTCTAAGTTAAAAAAAAAATGGTGTCAGGGGCTGGGAAGGTGGCTCAGTGGTAGAGCGCTTGCCTTGCATGCCTGAGGCCCTGGGTTTGATTCCTCAGCACCACATAAGCAAAAAGA